GCACCGGCGGGCACCGGCGGTGACCCGCGGCCGCCGTGTCCCCGCAGGGCGCAGCGGCGGCGGCGCGATGAGCCCCCCGGTCCCCGTCCCCGCCGGCAGGATGCTGCTCGCCCTGGCCCTGGCCTGCGCCAGCCCCTTCCTGGAGCCGCCGGCGGCGCCGCGCCGGACGCTCAACGTGGCCGTGATCCTCAGCGGGGCCTCCTACGGCCCCGCCGGGCCCCGCCTGGCGCCCGGAACCTTCCGGAACTTCTCGCTGGACGTCAACCCCGTGGGGGTGGTGCTGAACGACACCAACCCGCGCAGCCTCATCGTGCGCCTGTGCGACGTGCTGTCCTCGCTGCGCATCCACGGCGTCGTCTTCGAGGACGACACGCGCTCCGAGGCCGTGGCGCAGATCCTGGACTTCATCTCGGCCCAGACCTCCGTGCCCATCATCGGCGTCAACGGCGGCTCCGCCATCGTCCTCACGCCCAAGGTGACGCCCCCCGAGCGATGCCGGGCGTGTCTGGGGACGCCCAAACGTCCCCGGGTGGATCTGGGACCGAGCGAGCGTCCTCGAGCCAACTGTCTCCAACCCCAGCCCTGCCTGGGGGCACCCGAGTGTCCCCAGCCGTGTCCTGTGTCACCCAACTGTCCCCAGCATGACCCAGCNTGTGTCACCCAACTGTCCCCAGCCGTGTCCTGTGTCACCCAACTGTCCCCAGCATGACCCCAGCCATGTCTTGTGACACCCAACTGTCCCCAGCACAACCCAGCTGTGTCTTGTGTCACCCAACTGTCCTCAGCCATGTCTTGTGTCACCCAACTGTCCCCAGCCGTGTCCTGTGTCACCCAACTGTCCCCAGCATGACCCCAGCTATGTCTTGTGTCACTCAACTGTCCCCATCCTAACCCCAACAGTGTCTGGGGCCACCTGAATGTCCCCAACTCTGTCACATCCCAGCTGTGTCTGGAGCCATCTGAATGTCCCAAACCATGTCTGGAGCCACTTGAATGTCCCCAGCCATGTCTAGGGGCACCCGAATGTCCCCAAACGTGTCTGGAGCCACCTGAATGTCCCCAACTATGCCTAGGGTCACCCAAATGTCCCCAGCTGTGTCTGGAGCCACCTGAATGTCCCCAACTCTCACATCCCAGCTGTGTCTGGAGCCATCTGAATGTCCCCAGCCCACCTGTCCCCAAGCCCCAGCCGTGTCTGGTGTCACCCAAACGTCCCCAACCACGCGTAGATCCACCCAGCTGTCCCCACCCCAGTGATCCCCAAACCCCAGCCATGTCTGGAGCCACCTGAATGTCCCCAACCATGCCTAGGGTCTCCCAAATGTCCCCAGTTGTGTCTGGAGCCACCTGAATGTCCCAAACCATGTCTGGAGCCACCTGAATGTCCCCAACTATGCCTAGGGTCACCCAAATGTCCCCAGCTGTGTCTGGAGCCACCTGAATGTCCCCAGCCCACCTGTCCCCAAGTACCAGCTGTGTCTGGTGTCACCCAAACGTCCCCAACCACGCGTAGATCCACCCAGCTGTCCCCACCCCAGTGATCCCCAAACCCCAGCCGTGTTTGGAGCCACCTGAATGTCCCCAACCCAACCGTCCCTAAGCCCAACCTAGCGTGACCCAACCGTCCCCAACGCGACGTCCCCAACCCGTGTCCCCTCCCCGTCTCCCGCCACCGCAGGAGAAGGGCTCCACCTTCCTGCAGCTGGGCTCCTCCACGGAGCAGCAGCTCCAGGTGATCTTCGAGGTGCTGGAGGAGTACGACTGGACGGCCTTCGCCGTGGTCACCACGCTGCTGCCGGGCTACGAGGACTTCGTGGACTACGTGGAGGTGCTGACCGACAGCAGCTTCATCGGCTGGGAGCACCGCGGCGTGGTCACCCTGAACCTGACCGACGACCCCGAGGGCGCGCGGACGCGCCGGCAGCTGCGCGAGGTGACGGCGCAGATCCGGCTGCTCTACTGCTCGCGCGATGAGGCCGAGGCCGTGTTCCGCGCCGCCCGCGACGCCGGCCTCACCGGGCCCGGCTACATCTGGTTCGTGGTGGGCACCAACCTGGGGGGCAGCGAGCAGCTGCCCGAGCACGTCCCCGCCGGGCTGTTCGCCGTGCTGTCGGCCGGCTGGCGCGACGACCTCCAGCACCGCGTGCGCAACGGCGTGGCCATCGTGGCCAAGGGCGCCGAGGCGCTGCTGCGCGACTACGGCTTCATCCCCGAGTTCAACAACGACTGCCGCACGCCCAACGTCACCCAGATCAACGACAACCTGCACAGGTGGGACCCGGCGGCGCCGCCAGAGGGTGGCGGGTGGGGTCTGGGGTGGGTTGGGATGGTTGGGTTGGGGATGGTTGGGTTGGGGACAGTTGGGTGGTTCTAGACACGGTTGGGGACAGTTGGGTTGGGGACAGTTGGGTTGAGGACAGTTGGGTTGGGGACAGTTGGGTCAGAGACGGTTGGGTTGGAGATGGGTGGTTCTAGACATGGTTGGGGACATTTGGGTTGGGGACAGTTGGGTTGGGGACGGTTGGGTTGGGGACACTTGGGTGACTCTGGACATGGTTGGGGTGAGGTTGGGTTGGGGACAGTTGGGTTGGGGATAGTTGGGTGGTTCTAGACATGGTTGGGGACGGTTGAGTTGGGGACGGTTGGGTTGGGGACAGTTGGGTTGGGCATGTTCAGGTGGTTCTAGACCTGTTTGGGGACATTTGGGTTGGGGACATTTGGTTGGCTCTGGACATGGTTGGGGATGGGTTTGGGACGGTTGGTTTGAGGACAGTTGAGTTGGGGACAGTTGGGTTGGGGACGGTTGGGTTAGGGATGTTCAGGTGGTTCTAGACATGGTTGCGGTGAGGTTGGGTTGGGGACCTTTGGGTGGCTCTGGACATGGCTGGGGACAGTTGGGTTGGGGACATTTGGTGACCCCGGACACACTCGCGGTGGCGCTGGGGACATTGGGTGACGTTCCCGGGGTGGCACTGGGGACATCGGGTGACGTTCCCAGGGTGGCATTGGGGACATGGGGTGACGTTCCCGGGGTGGCACTGGGGACATTTGGACACTCTCGGGGTGGCTTTGGGGACATTGGGTGACGTTCCCGGGGCGGCGTCCTGCAGGTACTTCATGAACATCACCTGGGGCCAGAAGGATTTCTCCTTCAACGAGGACGGGTACCTGGTGAACCCCTCGCTGGTCGTCATCTCCCTCAACAAGGAGCGCAGCTGGGAGGTGGTGAGTGCCACCCCTGGGACAGGTGCCACCCCCGGGACAGGGTGCCACCCCCAGGGTCAGGGTGTCACCCCCAGGACAGGGTGCCACCCCCAGGACAGGGTGCCACCCCCGGGACAGGGTGCCACCCCCAGGGTCAGGGTGTCACCCCAGGGAACAGTGGGTGCTGCGGCTCAAGCACCCGGTGTGGTCACACTGTGGGTGGTGGCATCTCCTCATGGTGACACCTGGGCCTGTCACCTTCT